TGCAGAAGCTAGACTTGGTGGATGGAGTTTAAGGGAATGAAGAGGGGGTGAGTGTTTGCTACTTCTGTATATTTGGAGTCTTTGATAAAACAGAAGGCTAATTTCTCTTCAAACTTCATGTCGGTTTATAGGCCAGGCTGCCAGGGTTTAGGGTACCTCATCGCTTCCTGCATCTAGAAGTAAACTCAGAAGCTCAAAGCTCACCAATCTCGTACTGTATCTTTTCTGCCAAGATGCCTCACATTTCCTCCCAGCTGAGGCCAGAAGAGTTGGCTGTCACTCAAGTAGGTCAGCCCCAGGTGAAACTGGCCTCTCAGCCTCGTTCTGGGCACCCTGTGGGGATAGAGAGGGGTGTTCATTCAAAGAGCAGCTCTTCTTTAGGTTTACCCTTTGTACAGAAGAAATCTGGCTAAATATTCTCCCTTTCCTGCCTTTCTGTGATGATACGTATTTTAGTGATTGCTAAATTTGAACTAAACCTCGAAACTAACTGCGGGCTTTCAAAGCCAACCAATCTGAACTCACATTTTCTAGTTTGTCAGATTTGGGGGATTTTATTATTTTCATCTTAAAGAAACATCAACTGGCTGAGAGTAGTGGCTCACGTCTACAATCCCAGCCCTTTGGGAGGCCAAGGTGGGAGGATCACTTAAGCCCAGGAGTTTGAGACCAGCCTGGCCAACATAGGGAGACCTCGTCTCTCTGAATAATTTTAAAAATTAGAAGGGCATGATGGCACATCATGCCTGTAGTCCCCGCTACTCAGGAAGTTGAGGTATGAGAATCATCTCATTCAAGAGGTCAAGGCTTCAGTAAGCTCTGTTTATGCCACTGCACTTCAGCCTGGGTGATGGAGCCAGACTCCATCTCAAAAAAATAAACATCAGTTGACATTGGCATAAATATTTTAATATCTTAATATCTTCTTCTTCAGTCATATTTTTTCCAAAGACAAGATGAAAGCTTCTCCATTCAAACCAGTTTGACCATGTTCTCAAAAACATGTTCAGGTATAATTGTTGAGTGAAGGCGATTTCTGACTCACAACGAATTCATCTACAAATGCCATGGTTCCTCTTTGCAGCTATATCTCTTATACCTCCCCATTTGGAAAAGAAAAAAGGAAACCTACCACAGGAACAACCAAAACTGGAATTTGTTTGGCTAGCAGGCAGTAAGCCACATTCACTTCTGAGGACATAGAGGCGGTTCAGTCCTCTCAAGGACATCCGCGGTGATAAAGAGCAGTGCTTGATCCCAGCACCTTGGGAGGCCAAGGCGGGAGGATTGCCTGAGCCCAGGAGTTTGAGACCAGCCTGAGCAACATGGTGGGACCGCCCCACAACATCTCTATTAAAAAAAAAAAAAAAAAGCAGTGCCGATGGGTAATCTCCTCTACTATCCTCCTCTCCACCCAACTCCCCCATGTCCATGTACCCCACAGTGCCCCTAGCAGTAATTCCTAGCATCCTCAGAGCCCCTGTCACACTGTTGTTCATAAAGAGAGAACTGTTCTTGAGTCATTTCCCAGCTGATCTTACGGAGGCAGAACAGGTATTGTCTAAGTGAAGGATTATAGAATTAACAGTACATACGATAAGGGGGTAACACAGAAAAAATGTAATTTTCTGGATATGAGATCAAATTCTGGTTTGGGTTTTTGAAACTTAATGTTGTGGTACAGGCCAAACTGTGGCTCTTGGAAAATGTGAAGAAATACATTAGAGAGAGAGGAAATATAGTCAGATTAGTGCACTCCAGAAGCTTCGTATAGGAGCATTCTTCAATAATGTTAAGAAAATGGTTCGTAGCACTATTGCTAATATAGGTAAAATGGCTGCTTAAAAAAAAGCAAACAGTTTCCGTTTCAGAGGCAGCCATATAATCAATGATTTGATTTCTAATAGTTATGTGTGTCATGAAGATTATTATAATGAGATTATATAGCCAAATTGATTTTCCTGTTGACTTTATCAATACATCATCAAGTACTTCTGAACCTCCCCTCCAGAATTCTCAAAAATGTCCTACAATAATCTCCCCAGAAAACGGTGCTCTGGATTTTATGATTTTTCATAGGTCTGCCTATAGCTTTGATTATTGCTCTTGTAAATAAGGCAAGAATTGTAATTAAGAAAGATATGAATATGATACAATATCATAGTATACACAGTTGTATGTAATTAATTACCCTGTTGCCCCTTTACTTGATTTTATATTCATGTTGAAAGCTCTTAACTGTGCATGTATAATTGATTCACTATGGTAAATGTGGTTGTTTTAACAAAAAGTTTCAATTAAGGTTTTGTTCAACAGTGCAATTCCCTTATTCAATTGTGTCTTTAGGAAAATCAAATTCAACTTATGTTATGTCATTTTTGGGACTACATCCTGTTATAAGTGACCACCCTGCTAGCTAGAATAATGGAAGTTGAGTCAGAATTTCTTTCTTCCTTCCCTTGTTTTCCCTGTGTCCTTTTCCCAGAAGACAGCTTTCTATGGAATAAATTTCCCTGGGCACCATTTGTCCCATTCTTTGACTTGGGTACTCAAAGACTACTAGATTTTGTAGTTGTTACACACACACACACACACACACACACATTTTAATGCAAACAAACTAGCACCTTTCTCACCATTGTTCTCTTTTTAAAAAACTAGAATAAAATTTGGAGAAGTTTTGGTAGGCCTTGAGAGCGTGAAAGGCCTTCTGGTATGTTCTGATACTAAGACTGCAGTTTTGTTCCATGACTGAAGAAGGGAAAATATCTGATTGTTGGCCTCATAGAAATTTGGGGCAAATTTTGTATGCTAAAGCTTCTTTCAAATGGAGAAATTGAGGTTAAGCAAAAATAGATGATGGGATATAATATAAATACCTTGCCAGATTTAGTAAGCTTGCTATGGTCAAGCTATCTTCACAATAAAATTTCTCCCCCCACCCAACCCCCAGAACGTTATCTGTGTTGGGGTCTGTTAGCATGCTTGGTTTGGATGTCCCCAGTATGGTAAGAATGTCATAGGAAGTCCTGCTGCATGTCTATGATGAGCAGCAGGTGGGTGCACACTGTTCTGTTAGGGCCATCAAACACAGACTCATGTTTCAGCATCTGTCATCAATCACTCGGCCTTCATACCCTCCTATACCTTTATTGCTTTTTGTCCCTTCTCAGCCTACCTACCTATTCATGTGTGAAAGAAGACTTTTCTTCCTAACCGCTAACAGGTTCAACAGGTTGTTTTACCTCCTAGCTTCCTCTTCATCCCTCCCACATCCTCTTTGTGCTCTAAGAGCAGGGGAGCACCCTCCGATGATTATAGTCTATCATTCTCAGTATATAACTTTATATGGCTGTTTCTCAAAGCATATCAAAGTAAAGCCATGGAGCGAATGGAACACTTAATATAGATTATTTTACTGAGCTTTTAAAAAAATTGAATTACCCCCATACCAGTAAGTGAGAGGTACATGCAGAATGGCTAAATGCAGTGGTATTTCTCAAATCTGTTCAAATTAGACTGGCATAGCATGGGCTAGAGACAAAATCAGTAGATTCACATTGCTAGACAGTATGACACATCAGACATTTAGAGATCATTTTATATAAAGTCATTACTGAGTAGATTCTCCTAAAACAAATACTATGACCACAAGAAGTTTCTTATTTAAGAGACATCAGGGACCCTCACGCTCAGCCTCTGCTCAGTGCCATTTTAACACAGCCATGTCCACATCCACGTAACCATTGCAGATCTGTTTGGGTGGCTTAGCTCTTATCAAAGACAACCAACAGGACCTGGGCCAGATGGTGGAAATTTTATCTCTAGATTTGTTTAACGAGAGAAACAAGAAGTATGAGCAATTTTCTGTAAAACAGAATGTCAAAGGAGCAGATGATGTCAATAAGGAAAAAAAATCTGGCAGGAATTTGATATCATGCCCTCAGTTATCTCTGTTTTCGTAAGTTGCATATCCAGATTGCTTCTTAGATGGTGTGTGTCTACAGTTAGTTTAAAAACCTTAGGTCTTTTACAGTTATTGTTCAGAAATTTGAAATTATTTTAAGTAATAGTCTAAAGATTCTAGTACAAAGGAAGAATGTGAACAAATCCTTGGAGTTTGTGATAAAGAAGTGAATTGCAGGACACCAAAAAACAAGATGTACCTTTGGATTTATGAGCCAATGAAACACCAAAGCCACTGAATTTTTTTTTCCACTACAGTAGAAAGAAGCTCTTAAGTACAAACATGAAAACCAACAACCAGATTTCCATGTACTGAGAAAGGATAGTGAACTGTGTGGTACCTGAGGTTCCAGTGTGATACCTTAGTTGACAAAGGGTCTTGATTGTTTACGCCCGAACAGAAAGGTTCTAGGATGGGAAGACTACAAATTAATATTAAAGCACAGATTATGCATCATAAAGATTCTAGACACCACTGGGCCTGTAAAGACAGCTTATTCTGAATGGTTTTCTACCTCCTTCCTGGAGAACCCATTCGTTCCTTCTATAAAGATTCCTCTTCGATCTCTAGCTGTAGAGACACAGGACCGTTTCATGATTTTTTGGGAGTGTAAACGGTGTGAAAAGCAAGCTTGTAAAATGAACTGCTTTCCTCCTCTTCCTACCTAATTTCTTTCTCCCTCTGCTCTAAAGACTAGGATATCTCTTTCTGACCCCAGAGCTCATGTTTAACTCAGAAAGTATACTTTGCAAATGCCCTGCATGTTCTAATTTGTATGGTAGAAGGAGAAAATAGCTCGTCTGAGAATCAATTCGACATCATTTTATCCCAACGGTCTTTGGAAGCCAAATCCCCCTTCCCCCTTTTTTGACTGTCTAAAACGCCCTTGCTAGCCAGACCCCTTTGCTAGCTACAGTGTTTGCACATTTCCTTGTTAATCAGCTGCGTCGGCTCGGAGACTGTGTGTTTTGGTGTTGTTTGTGTGTGCAATCTCGTGCCGCTTCCTGAACGCATGTGTCCCTTCCCTTCACAGCCTACTCGACACCCAGCACCTCCCCCGCAAACCGATTCGTCAGTGTTGGACCACGGGATCCAAGCTTTGTAAATATCCCTCAACAGACACAGGTGGGCCGCTCTCATCTTTTCTGTATGTGGTGCAGCTTGTATTATTCATCAGGTGCATTTTAACTTGTCTTTTGGCACAAAAGACCGCATTTCCCAGACCCTGTCCAGTCCTCCCTTTCCTCCTGATCCCACCAGCCACATTTCCATGTGTTCTCAGAAATCACAGAAAACTTTGCCTGCAATTTTTGCTTCTTGTATTGAGTGGGTAGAAGAAGAGGACTTCCAGGTCAGAACTGTTTTAGCTATAGCAAAAAAGGTTTCCCTGTGTTAGCTAATGTGTGTTCCCTCTTCTAGGAATTCATGGCCCTCTAAATGCAAGCAGACTGAAGCAGGCCCCTACAGAACTTGAAAGTAATGTCTGGTTGCCAGTGACATCAGAGTGCATGCTGGGTGTGGAGGGACAAGCCACTCCTCTGTATTCATTAGAGGGTCCCCAGGAACCTGGCAAGCTTTCTAAATGAAAGAAGGGGGAAAGGGTGTATGAACCCTATTAAGTTGCTGGTGTTGGTCCAGAAATAAGACATGTCTGTTAGTGATTACTGCTGGCCACTGGGAAGCAAAGTATAGTGGATGGCAAGGGGTGTGTGTGAGTCATATCTGAAGCAGGTGATGGAAGAAGAGGAATGCCTGGACATCTAGAGCTTGTCTGCCCATAGACAGTTGTGTTTTGTGCTAGCCTAGGTCAGGAAGAAGAAATCTTTTGGAAAAGTTTTGGAATGGCTGCTATACATTGAGCAACATTGGAAGAGTTTTTAAGTTCCAAGTTAGTATAGGTAGATGTATTTCGAGGTTTGTGAAATAGAATTAGAGTCACATTTTGAAATCACCTACTCTGATTTCCTAATTAGAACATGACCATATTTTATCATAATTAACATAAGGAAAGTATTTTCTCTGTAAGATTCTTAGCATGGTGTTTGAAAACATTCTTGGAGCAATTTCGTGCACATGCCTGGGTGTGGAATCTCCAGATGCGTAATTTATAACTATCCGTGTCTGTTTGTAATATGGCCAGGTGCTTATGAATGGGATAGATTTGCCTTCCTGGGTCCATTTGCTCCCTCTATAAAGGGCTTTGGTTTATTGCTATGTCGACAGCACAGGTTAAACTGCATTGTATCTGAAGCCTTCCTCACACTAAAGCAGGGTCACAGAAAGTACAGCATCAGCAGAGAAGGCAGCTGGGAGGAGAGGGGGAGCCAAAAGGGGAGGAAGAAGGTTGGTTAACTCTTGAATTTCCGACCTCTGCTGTTTCTTCTTAAACTGGCCTGCACATGGTATCTGGGATTAAAGTGTGCTATTCAGTACCTCCTATAAAATTCTTTCAGTTATTTGCTTATTTTCCCATACCTTCATATGTTCAAGTGAATCTGAAGTTTCATAATTACCTGTAAAGCATTAAAGCACAAAAACATAATTTAATTTTGTACATTTGGCATTCAGTGTCCAAGTTCAATGAGAGTGGGAGAACTGGAGATGGTGGCTCTGCATTGGATAATTGCTTTTCCAAAAGCACAAATGTCCTAAAGTTGGTTCATTAAGAGCTTTAAAAAGGCAGCTTTGAAATGCCCTGTTCATATTTTACATAGTATTTTTTATATAAGCTGTGATTCACAGCCCTGAAATTGTACGCTGTGTTCCATTCAATTTATTTCTATAATCAAAATGTATTCTATTCCACTGTGGCTTTGCTTCACAAATGCCTTACTTAACCCAGAATCTGAGTCTTCATAATGCTGGCCACAAAAATTCAATTCTTAAAAATCCAGATTTTCCACGCATCTGGATAAATGATGTCATGTAGGCCCAATGTTGGCATCTGGAACTGAATTTGTTTTTTTTTTGGTTTTTTTTTTTTTGGTTTTGCTAAATATTTGGCATCAACAGCTTAAATGTTTCTTACCATAGTGACACCTGCCACATTTGGCTTGAAGAAAGCCATTCCCAGTTGTCTAATGAGAAACTATGCTAATTGAGTTGTCATTTTCACACTCCCCCTCAAAAAAAGATATTTTGAGGTAAAAATTATGTGCTCTAAATATTTTAATTTCAAGGTATATATATTAACTCTTTCCTTAAATGGAGAACTATTTTCTGGAATCACTTAACATGTTAGATGTATGTAGATATAGATAATAAAAATAATAATATACCTTAAAAAATAAGTTCCCTTTCAAGAGGACAGCAGTTCAAAGGGGAATTTTGAGAAGAATTTTTCAAAACATAATTAGAACATGGTCTGCAGACTTCCTAGGCAAACTTGTGTTTTTCTATATTGATATCCTTGTTATAAGACATGACATTTATATTAATTAAATTACAGGAAAAGTTATCTGGGAAAACAAAATTTGGCTTTCTACCTCTGGAGAAATAAGAATTGAAGAGTCACCCAATCAGATACTTAAGCTTTCTAAATGTAGAATCAGTATCTTGTACATAAATCTATAAACAAAGGCAAAATAAAATGGCCTTTCTGTTCCCAAAGACCAGTTTCCAGTGGAAATTTCTTAAAATGCCTGAAGCACCATCTTGTAGAAGATGGAATTGATGGGGTCACTGTTTTTCCAAGTGGGTGGAAATTGAACCAATGCAGACATTGTAACTAGGCAGCTTTCAGACTATCATAAGACCTTTTTTAAGAAAAAGAGTTATTTGATTATATATTGTCTCTACTGGGCATTTTCTTTGTATTAAGTCCATCAAGTACTTGACGCAGCTTATCTTTATAGTCATCTAGTAGGATAGATCTCTACTTTATAGATGTGGAAGCTGAGACTAAGGAGATTGTTGATTTTCCCAAGGCTATGCCATAGTCAGGAGTGGAACAAGAATTTGCACCCAGTTCTGTCTGACTCCAAGGCCTGTGGTCTCTAACCACTGTATTATGTTACTGCTCATGAGCTGGTGAGCTCTTTTCCCAGGAGATATTCCAACAGAGACTGATGCTCACTTCTCAGGAATACTACTGGCAGATTCCCTGCTTTTATTCCTGAGATTGCATTAAAATCTAATCATTAGTGTATACCCCCAAAAATGGAAAGCAAAGTTTATCTGTTCACTCATAGTTGTAGCGGCATTCTCCACAATAGCCAAAAGGTGGAAGCAACCCAAGTTTCCATTAACAGATGAATGAATAAACAAAATGTGTTCTATATGTAAAATGGAATACTACTCATCCTTTAAAAGGAAGGAAATGCTGACATATGCCACAACATGGATGAAAACATGCTAAGTGAAATAAGCCAGTCACAACAAAATAAATACTGTATGATTCTACAGATGTGAGGGGTACCTAGAGTAGTCAAATTCATAGACATGGAAAGTAGAGTAGTGGCTTCCAGGGGCTCGGGGGAGGGCAGAATGGGGAGTTAGTGTTAAAGGGGTGCTGAGTTTCAGCTTTAAAAGATGAAAAGAGTTCTGGAGATGATTGCACAACAGTGTGAACATACTGAATCCCACTCAACTGGACACTCAGAAAAGGTTAAGATGGTAAATGTTATTTGTGTGTATTTCACTACAATTTTTAAAGTGTGATCATTAAGTAAGCTCTAAAGTCCTCTTCATCTCTTAGGTGAAAATTCTGTAAAACAGCACAGGACAAGTGGATTGTTTATCAGAGTAATCACGTGCTAACTGCTCCGAAAAGCACGAATTATTGTGCCCAGCTCATAGTGGGTACTCTGCATACATTGGTTGAGTCTAAATGATTCAGAAGGAACTTTACAAAATAATGACTTTTTCTTATTACATTCATAATACATGTTAATTGTGGAAAATACAGATGAGAAAAATAATAAAAATCACTTGTAGTCCTGTTAACATTTCTATATAAATCCATTCAGAATGTTTCTATGCATACAAATATATTGCAAAAAGAGAGATCATATTATATACACTGTTTGGTAGCCTGCTGTTTCTTCCCCTTAACAATATATTATGGCCTTCTTTCCATGTAAATTGGAAAAATTGAATATTGGCTTTTATTGCACCTATTCATCATCTGTAATGATTGGTAGAGAAAGATAACATGGATAATTGAAAGCCATTTTTCCTCCTCTTTCCCTTCTAGTCTATTTTGTTTCTCCAGAGAATTCCTCCCTTGACTGAAACAGAATTGCCTTCTCTTTAGCCTTGCCTTGAGCTAGTTTTCTTTCAAACTGCCTTCCAATTGCATTGTATATCTCGCCCTGGCTTTCGGCTTTGTTCGAATATTCCTGCCGAGTTATATATTCCATTCTTCCACCTCACTTGTCTGCCACCTTTGCTACCATCATTTGCCTCTCATTTTTTTCCTCCTTCTCCATGTTGTCACTGATCATTGAGATGAGAGGTGGCCACCTCCCTACAGTCTTTAGAACACCCATTGATTCCGAGAAACTGGCCCCTCGTCCCACCTTGAATCTCTTATTTTCCAACATTGTCCCATGACAGCTGATATTAACATATAGAAAGGTCTCTGGGGCATACAGTATTTACTTCACTTTAGACACTGTTCACGTGCCCTGCACGCCCACTGTGAATGATAGAATGTAATAATAGAGAACATGCCATTGTTTCAAATAGCAGAAAGCAAATGGCCATTTCAATTGCATCCCATAACTTAATCTGATCCCTGAAAATGAGAACCATTAAGAAGAGGCATTTATTTAAAGAAAAAAAGTTAATATTTCATCATCAAGTAATAAATAGAAATACCAATTTCCACACAGGAGGACTGAGCAAAGAACTCATTTTGATTCAGGTTCTAGTTTAATCAAAAGGTTTAAATAAAATGCTTAACCTGCAGAACTCCAATGAGGACTAATTCTTTAAAATGAAAAATGAGTGCAAACAATATTAAAAACAGGCATTTCCTCCTTACCACCCAAATCTATCACTGTTCTGCATCAACAGAATTGTGGTATCTGAAATGCTATTTAAAACCAAATTACCATTTGGACTATTAGAAGAATCGCTTGGCATGGCATGGGCCTGATTTGTTGACAAAAAGGCACAGGTGC